CTGCTTGGTTCACTGTAAACAGCTTCTTGAACAGGGTACCCTAAGCATTCAGTAAATGTTTGTTGAACGACTGAAGGGCAAAACCACCAATGTAATGGAAGGCCTTGAGCGATGCCCTGAGGAAGCACATGGCTGGTCAGTATAAGTAAGTGATCTGTACAGACAGCACTTAGCAATCTGTGTGTGGTTGGTTTTCTGCTCCGACAGTATCACATAGGCAGGATACAACCTGCTATTCCCATTACCCGAGAGGCATAAATACTTGCAATATGGTTGTACGCTTCTTTTTGTAATTTAAATGAAGACTCCCAAGTAAAGTTCATGGTTGTAATGAAACTGGGCCACAGAGTCATGGAAAATTGTGACAAGGTTCCAACTGATGAGGAAAGGTCACAAGTAGCATGCTAAGCACAGATGGAGAAAAGGAGCTTGTGTGCTTCTTTCTCGAGATGTGTGGCCACGATGTGCATCAGTGCAGATGGCAAAAGCTGATAGCTGAAAGAACCACAGACAAAGACTGCACAAGCTGAGTTAGAATGAAACAGAGACATATCACAGGGTATCAGCAAGACGCTTGAGGGCAAATGCTGTAGATGTAAAGCCACTGAGTTCCTGGGTGAGTAAGAATATAAAGAGATTTATAGTGCCAGGATAACATTTTTGGTATCAAATATCTTTTTCATGCTATTAAGTTTGTTTTGAACATCTTAATTACATAGATCAGTCAATGCAAACAACTTAAACCATCATGGTGGCTTTAAAAATATATATAGGAATGAGATCCTGTAGGCCTGGGATTAAGTCACCTAAGCTTGAAAATGTTCTATTTCCTGAGTGATGAAAGTTGCAAAGGTGTAGGCTATCTTGCCATACCACACCCCTGGGTGTAATATTACTGAAATAAAACAAGTCAAGATTTGTTCAGTCATTTTACAATATATATGTAACTTCTGGTAACAGTTAGTGGTATGAGGTTTCTTTTTGTTTAATAATTAGCTAGAAAGTTTTCTTCTTAATGTGCCTCTCTGCTTGAGAATTTCTTAGTAACAGAGTCATTTCTCCTTTCTAGAAACATAACACACACTCATAGCATAAGAGCAGCTTTTAGGTTAGGACAAAGCACTGAAAGTTAGTAACAATAGTTGCTTCTTTGTCCTCTACCTTGCTCTTGTGCCTAATCATTGCTTGAATTTTGGTGAGGCCCCTCATCTTGTATAATGGATATATCAGACTGACTGAAGGGTAGGGTAACTATATGTACTGCCTTTATATCGTGGCTCATTTATCTGAGGATTTCATGTTGCAGCCACTCCAGCATTTCAGAATGGGTACAATTCAGCAATCAAAATTCAGAATTCAGAATTCAGCAATCAAAGTGATCAAAATATGGTTTCATTTAAAACTCCTTCACAAGGGGAATCAAAGCTTTTCCACATTTAGTGCTTTTTTGGTCCAAAGATACTTAAAGTTTCTTTTCAGTGAGCATGGCAGGTGAGGTGCTCTTTACTGGAACTAGTTGATGGCACAGGCCCCGCCCCACCTTTGGTGATTTTCATCATGATATTCAAATAAAGTAATTTATGCACAGAAATATCTTGTAAACTACAGGTATGTATAAAACATAATTATTATCATTATGAAAGACAGCAGCTTGGTATAGGGTATAAGAACTTCAGGCTAGAAGCCTTAGACCAGTGATGGCGAACCTATGACACGCGTGTCAGAGGTGACACGCGAACTCATTTTTTTGGTTGATTTTTCTTTGTTAAATGGCATTTAAATACATAAAATAAATATCAAAAATATAAGCCTTTGTTTTACTATGGTTGCAAATATCAAAAAATTTCTATATGTGACACGGCACCAGAGTTAAGTTAGGGTTTTTCAAAATGCTGACCCACCAAGCTCAAAAGGTTCGCCATCACTGTCTTAGACCCTATGAACCTGAAGAAGGGTGGGTTCCCCCTTGTGGAGGGAGAGAAAGGGGTCATTTTGAGGGAGAACAGTGGGAGGTCCTGGTTTGAAGATGACCCTATAAAGAACCATGTAGTTGGAAAGTCCTCTTTCACTGGAAGTGCTCTGGTTTGATAGTACCTGCTGCCTGGAGAAGACCCGTGCATTGTGAAACTTCAAAAACAATCTAGGCTAATAGATTTGTTTCATTGGGTGGATCTGATAATGAGCCCTATTGTACTGAGATAGTTTACCTATTGCGATGAGGATTATGTTTAGTAACCTATGTATGTAATTTATCAACTCTTTAAAAAATTTAAAAACATATTAAGCTCCCTGGCCAGTGTGGCTCAGTCTGGTTGGAGCATCGTCCCATGCCCCTAGGATCTCATGTTCAATTCCTGGTCAGGGCACATACCCAGGTTGTGGGCTTGATCCCCGGTTGGGGTGCATACAGGAGGCAACAGATTGATGTTTCTCTCTCACATTGATGTTTCTCTTTCTTCCTTCCTTTCTCTCTAAAATCAATTTAAATAATGTCCTCAGGTAAGGATTAAAAAAAAAAAATCATAGAAAGCTACAGTATTCTCATCACTTTTGAAATACAGTCTTCCCAGAGGTGCTAGTTCTGCAGTAAATAAGCCTTTAGAAGCTTACCGAAAGGCAAAACTTGCTTTCCTTGTGATGTTTTCCTGTACACGAACTCAGTGTTTTGGAAACCTGCAGTTATCTAAATTCCCATCGGGTGACATTGTTTAATCTAACATGCCCTCTCTCATATATGAAAATAGCTCCAAGGACATCCACTGCCGTGCTTTGAACTCTCCTAAAGGTAGGTGGGAGGGAGTTTCCAACCCCACTCCTTTTCCTCTAGGTTTTCCTGCCCCTCCCCCCCTTTCCCTAAGTTGGTCCAGATAGCCTCCAGAGGCTCCCCCCTCAAGGGCTAATCAGGGGAAAGAGCCTTTGACCTTGGCTATAAAGCACCTGTCTAATCACTGAGCTTATTAGGCCACCCGGAGTCCAGATGCATAAGTTACTGCAAATAAACATTTTTGGGGTGCGTGTGTGTGAAAATTTAGGTCTCTGATACTGAGAGGAAAGATCGATTGCTTTAAAATAACAACTACACCTATTTCAAATATTGTAATGAAAGTATGCAAAAAACCCCCAAACAAATCAAAACACAAACCCTCACATAAAAAGGCTGCAAAAATGTTATTTTACTTTGAAGGCAGTAATAACTGAAAATAACAGGCTTCTTTCAGGCCACATCCTAAAAAGGTAGCTGCTTTTTTATGTCTTAGGCCTGTACAAAGGTCTTCAAAGAGCCCTGACCCCTGCCTTCTGAAGATTTTAGGTTAACACGTTTGTCTTAAAAACTACGAGGTGCCTAATTTTTAAAAACAACCGGCCACACCCCCTTCCTCAACCATATTGTCACATCATCCAAATTACACTTTATGAACAGCCTTGATGTGCTACACGCGTGCAAAAAGTACACAGAGCGGGTAAACTACTTTGCCTTAGAAGTCTATATTTAGTCATCACTTAGTTACATTATTTTACTTTTGTGAAATGAGAACTGATCGACCAAACCTTTCCAACAGACCCACCAGACGATAAATATCACCATATGTTTGATTCACAGTACATTTGGGCATAAACACTTCAATTACAGCTTTGTGTTTAGTATCAGAACCCTTCTCTTGTGTGCGTGTTTTCGCTACAGATCCCGTGCTCTGCATCCCATTCTGGAAACCGCCTGACAGACAGAGCACCTTCCCAGGTACGCTCCCGAGAAGCAGATGTATTTATGCACACAAAGGTGTGCGCGCACCTTTCCACGCACACATGTCCCCGCGCCGCCCGCGCCGCGCTCCCAGCACATGCCCACCGCGTGCGTGCGGCCGCGCACCGGGTCCCGGCACCCACAGGCTGCCCCGAGCCCGCGGGAGCCCCGCCCGCCTCCCCGGCCAAGTGAACCGGCTGCACCGGCTGCGGCGCGAACCTCCCCACCCCCACGGGGGAGGGGGAGGGGGAGGCGGAGGGGCGGCCAGTGCCGGGAGGCGCCTCGGAGCGCCAGCGGGTCTTTCTTTTATTTTTAAAAAGACTGCGCCGCACACACCCGGCCCCAGCGCCGCTGGGGCAGGCGGGAGGGAGAGGAGCGAGGCCGGCAGAGCCCCCCGCACCCCCTCCCGGAGCCGCCGCCGCCGCCTCCCGCTCCGCGGCGCCCCTCCCCCGCCGGCCCCTCCCCCTCGCGCCCGCCCGGCGCAGGCCGCTCGGGTTTGTTTTGCTGCGCGGCCGCCGCCGCCGCCGCCGCCGCCGCCGCGGGCCTCCCGAGCTCATTTTTGCCTGGCTGGTCCCCGCTCCGCGCTCCCCAGTGTGGAGTGTCTGAGCCGTTGGCTGCTCCGAACCGTTTGGCTCTTTCCCTTAGTAACAGCTTTTCCCTTCTGCCTCAATTCCTCTCCCCGCTCGCCCTGCCCCCGCGCGCCGCCTCCCCCCGCCGCCGGCCGCGTGCGCCCCCGCCCCTCCCCCCGCGGCGGGAGCACCTCCGCTCGCCACCTGGGGACCCGCGCCGCGCTCCCCGCCCCCGCCCGCCCGGCGCCCATCCCCCGCGCCCTCCGCTCGCCGGGGTTATAATTGCCTCGCACCCCCCGGAGGGGTTATTTTGGGGTGGTTGGAGGCGGCGGCGGCGAGGAGGGGAATTTCCTTGTGCCTCCATTCCCGGGAGGGGGGAGCGGCGTCGGAGGCCACCGTTTCCAGGTAAGCGCGGGGGGCCGGACCCCGGGGTGGGGGCGGCCGCGGGCCCGGGTGGGGTGGGGGTGGGGGTGGCGCGGGCGGAGGGGGCCGGGGGGCGCGGGGCCGCGGGGCCGCGGGGGAAGGGGCGCCACCAGAGCAGGCATTTTTCAACTTGGCCCTTTGGGCAGCCTGGGGGAGGGGACGGCTTTTCGGGTGTCCCCTCCCCCCCTTTTTCCTCGCAGGCTGCTTTGAAAATGCTCACGTGCCTGCCCAACCCCGACCCTTTCCTGGTCTCGGGGGATCCTTACCCTGATTATGTTGTTGTCCCCGAAAATGTGCACCTCGGCCTGCTCCCCCTCGTCCAGCCTCGGTGCACGGACACCCCCTTTGAGTGTGTATGTGTGGGGGGAGGCTTTCAGGAAAGAATGTGCAGCAAATTGGATCAAGGAGCCATCATGAGGCCGACTCCTTGGGAGCCTATTTTTAGCGGAGGAGCGGGCTCTGTCGGGGGCACGGTGTTGGGTCGGCGCTCCGGCGGCGATGGGAGTCTGCTGCCCCCCTGGGGCGCGTCCGCCGCCCCGGCCCCGGCCCCGGCGCTGAGACCCGGGCCGAGCGCGCGGGGCCGGCGGCGGCGGCGGCGGCTGTTGGGGCCGCGGTCCGGGCGGGGGCGCCGGCGGGGGAGGGGCGCGCGGCCGCCCTGGAGGACGTGCTGATTCGGAACTTGGTGCTTTTTTCTCGTCCGAAGGGGGCCTTTGGAGTCACTTTGAAGTTGGGTTCAGAAGTGTAGCATTGGCAAAGTTATTGCCGGCTTCCTGGTAAGTTTGGGGTGGCGCAGAGGCGCGTTCTTTGGTGACAGTGTGCAGGCCACGTTGTGAGGGTGGTTTCTGGGTAACTTCCTCTTTGCAACCGATGTCCGTTTCTGAGCAGAAACTGACTTTTATTTCAGTGAAATATTAATCTTCAGCGGCAGCTCGAGGGAAGCGGTGCATGTGCCAGCAGGTCCCGTATTTTGGGAAGTTCCTAATTTGCTGAAAACAGGCATCACTTTGCAGTGGCCACCGAGATGAGATTGTAGGCTGTGAACATGGTGTGTTTCTTGTAAAATGTGGGTCGTAGTGGCTCCTTAAAAAGGCTCCTGTTCGGCTGTCTAGTGACCGTCCCTAAAGCAATTTGGTGATCGTCAGTGACCAGGGTTGGAACCTAGTTGAAAACTAGGTTTGCTCAGTGTCTGGAGTTTCCTTCCCACCATGGGCTGGGCAGGCACCAAGGTGAACAGCTTTGGTGCCTCCGTGATTTACAGCGGACTTAGGGAAGTTTACTATTGGTTTTCCTGTTTTCCAGACAAGAACTTTATGTGGATCTAAATAAGCGTGTGAATAAACGACGGCGGGCGAATTGTGGGCTATTTTTAGTCTACATGGTCTGTCCGCCCCTCCCCCCATGTACTGAAATCATGATCTTCCTTCCCTCTTTTTTCCTAAAGACCCTTTTATCCCATTGGGAAATAGAAGACACCTGGTGGTGTTTTCAGCCACTCACCTAAGACAAATTGTAGTAAATATCCTCGCTACACATTGAAGATGCAGCGAGTGACTTTTTGGCTATCCCAGTGTGTGTGGTTCATTTTCATTTTTGTTGAATCAGGCCAGTGCTACATTGGTGTATTTTAGTAATCCTGACTTCCTGGGACTGTATGTTCTCACCGTTTTATTAAGTTGATAGTCTAGGGAAATGGAGCAGCTCTGTCTCCATGAAGACGGTGTGTATGTTGGGTTGTATCATGGGAGTTCATGGCAAGCAAGCTTCGGAAATTATCAGTGAGGGTTCTAGCAATAGTGAGCATTTATCTACCTGTGGAGGAGGGGCGGCAGATAGAAAATGTGGCTGAGAGTGGTTAGGTGGGGGATGCGTTGTATATACTTCTCCCTCTTAAATTGAGGTTTTCTTGCTTGTTTTGAATATAATATTTTCCAGTTCTTTTTATCATGCATTGTCTGATGCATGTAATCACAACCATTAAATCCATAAATAACTACTGTTTTTGCTATTTGAGTAGTTAGAATCAAACCCATAGGGGAAAGCACTAAACTGTACTGGGGTGAAAACAATGTTTACATGGAAAAAGTTTTTCTTACTATGAAGGAACTTAATTAAGGGACTCGTTCCTGGCTTAAAAATTGTTGCTTAGCTCACCATTAGTTAATGGAGGGACGTTTGGTTATTCAAGTGATGGAGACACATTGTAATTGAAGTGGCCCTTGGTGGAGGTTGTATTTTTGCATTGGGTGCTTCAAGGAAGTGTTCAGCATTTTAAATAAACTTTTTACGTGTGCCCAGAAATCTTTCTGTTGCTTGTGCTCTCAACATCTAATTAAGGTTTATCATGATTACCATGATGCTTGCTTACCAGGAGAACAAGAAATAACTGCTTCCTGTGTGCTGGGAGCCTTCAAGCTAATGTGCAGGAAGGGTAGACCCTTCATATAAACGTAGGGAGCTACTAATGAAAAAAGATGTGAACTAATGGACTTTTTGAACAGCAACCTGTTGAATAAAGACATGTTTGTATGTTGCAATGAAATATAAGCACAATCTTGTCAAATGAGTAGCTGACAAAGGAATCCTCCCACAATTTACTACAGCATTATTTCTGACTGGACACATTTTGATGAAGTTCATAGAAATAATTTGTTGGGTTTGTTCAGTTTCTGTATTTATATAAAAAGAATTGAGTGGAATGAGGATGGTGGTAAGTCAGGGGAGAGAGATGGCTAAATATTGACATGTCTGGGACTTTGTATTTTTCTAATACAAGTGAATTTGACTCTTTTCACAAATAACATTTACAGTATGAAATGCAAAAAAAAAAAAAGAGCAGCTAACATGGAGACATTTATGCACTCCCATAAAACAGGAGAGGTAGGCCCTCAGGGCTATGTAATAAAGAATTAGTAAGAGTATGGTCCAGCTTGGAGACCACCATGGTGGTATCTCCTGCTCTATCACCAACAAAGACTTGAATTTAAAAAAAATTAAAAAAATAGAGTAAAAAAAGCCGTGTGAGAGCTGTTGCTGGAGAAGTTTCCTATTCACCACCTCTGGGACTGGGCTAGTAAGAATACAATGAATTGCCCTGTTAAGAAGAGCCAGAGGAAAGGGACTCTGCTGGGGCTGTGCTCTAGGAAAGGTGAGAGCAATGCTTTCTGTGCCATCTATACCTCAGGCTAATCTTGGGATGGGTCGTATTGGGCTTCTTTTGTGGACTATGAAATAGAAGTGCAGAGAAGTTAATTCACTTGTCCAAGGCCTCAAAATGATCAAATGATGCACTACAGTCCACCTTATCCATCACGTTCTTTCTAGATGGCTGTGGCTGCACCAAGTCTTTCCAGCTGTCTTGTCTTTCTCTAGATATCCTTGCAAAAACTAGTGTTTCTAATCAGGTTTATATTTCTTTAGTTGTGTGTCTCTACTGACAGGGTCAGGTGATTGCAGGGATAAATGAAATTCATGGGATTCAAACATCATTGTGTTTAAATCTCCAGAACTGTTTAGTAAGATACAATCTTGTCAACTGCTGTATATTCTATCTTAAGGTTGACTGTGGTGAAGGGCCTCTCCAAGTACTACTGCCTGCAGACCTGCAGAAATAAGAAAATGTGGTTCCATGCCTATAATTAAGAAGGAAAAGCAAATAAAAGTACCCTCAGAGTACATATTCCTTGAATAAGAAACATCCGTATTTTGTGTAATATAGTGATTCCATCAGAGGTCCTGAAGGCCAACTGCCTGGGTTCAAACCCTGGCACTCTCCCATACTACATGTGACTGCGGGGGAGTAACTCCTGCTGTACTCAGTTTCCTCCTCATGGGGACAGTCGACTTTGTAGAGTTCAGAGGATTGAGAGAAGTGTATGTGTAAGGTGCTGAGAACAGTACTTGACATACAGCAAGCATCATGGAAATGTAAGGTGTTTGGGTTGATGGCGATGGGTTTGGATTTGAAGTTTGCTTCTTTGTATTACATTTTATTTGCTTGTTACTTGTTTTCAGTGGAAGCATAATGTCATAGAAAGCATTTGGCAGCTTTATTTCCTGAGTTCCTTGTCAAAGTATTTGAAATAAGTTTGGCTTAATTTATTTACTATAAGTTGTGATTAAGGCCTACCTTGAAGAATTTGATTGGATTTTAATAATATCAAATTATGTGGTTGGTGTAGGGACAGTGGTGCATCTTTTGCATGCCTTTGTTGCTGTTCTGTCACTTGGGCTTGGACTTTTTAAATCCACTTGTACCATTTTAAATATTTTCCAATTTTAAAATTTTTGTTTGTTTTTCAGTGCCGTATTCGGTAGTACCGAGGATCTGCTTTTTTGATTGGAGTGATTACTTCAAGTGGGTTATTGTTTCTCCAGCCTTGACCTTTCCATCTCTGTTCTTGTTCCATATTTCAGCTGCTGTCAAGACAGTTCTCCTTGGAAGTTCTGTTCCTCTGAAATATCTGTGAGCCTTGTCTTATTTTCACTTCCCATTTTTTACTATTCTTAATTCAGCAATAATGCTAACTACTGTTGGAGTTCTATGAGTCAGGACTACCCAGATGCTTTGACAGGTACTTGTGACAATCTGAGTGGGTGATACCCTGGTTTTTAAGCGGAGAAACCAAGGCTCAGGGGATAAGTGACACTAGGCCCAGCATGTCTGTGGTATAGCTAGTGTTCTTACTAGCAGTCTACTGTCTTCTCAGTGAGTGAATGAAAAAAATGAATGAGTGAATGGTTTTCGGTCTGGGTTATGGCATTAATTTTCTAGTAGGTTGCTTTGAGTAGCCTTTCTTCTTCATCCTATCTTCTGTAACTACTGACAGTGTAATTTATTTAAAATACTGACTTCATCATGTCACTTCCCCTGCTGGAGAACCCATAATGGCTTCCCTTTGCCAACTGGATTGCGTTCATATGCTTCAGTCTGGCTTTTAAGGCTCCATTCTACCTATTCAGCTTAATTTCCCACTCCTTTCCAACTGGGATTCTTGCCTGCCTATCAAATACTGCAGTTTTCCATACTCATTACTCTGCTGCTTTTGTGCATGCTGTTCCTTCCATTTGTCCTCTGGATGGCCTGATTTCAGTCCCACTTCTTCGATGAAGATTTTTCTGGCCATTCTGACTCAGGATATTTCTTCTCTGAGATTCCATTGATTTATTGACTATCACAAACTTCATAATTATTCATTGTTTTATGAGTATGTATCATATTAGCCAGCTATACATCATATTTCTTGGACTTTTCCCTTTTATAGTATTTCTTTTATAGTATTTCAAAAAATGTTTTTATTGATTATTTTAGAGAGAGAGGAAGGGAGAGGGAGAGAGGAACATTGATCAGCTGCCTCCTGCACGCCCCCTACTGGGGATCGAGCTGGCAACCCCAGGTATGTGCCCTCACCAGGAATGAACCTGCAACCTCTTGGTGCATGGGACAATGTTCAACCAACTGAGCCACATTGGCCAGGGTGTTAGCAGAATTCTTGACTTTCTCTCATAGCATCTTCATGTTAAATGGATTGTTTCTACAAGGGCCAATGCTAAGATACAATGGC